AAAGTCTCAAGGCGCTCTCTTCAGAATGCGCCAAAAGTCGCATGGCCTTTGCATCAACGATGGCTGCGCTCGCGGCAGCTTTGGCTTCCACAACATGCAGGAACAGAGGCTGCGACCGTTATAACGTAAGCTCCAACCCTGAAAGATGCCCCGTCCTACAATATGTGACGCTACGATTCTGTGTGGATACCGCATCCTGCGTTCCGAGACAGTAAGTGTGCCGCTAACGTAAGCCATCGGCGATGCAGCAAACGGCACCATCTTGTCATCGCGCACCCCAATGACGTGCCCCTGGCGCACCCCAGCATGGCGGAAACGGTACGGGGCGCCAGCATCCCTCAAAATGGCAGCGCACAGGAGCCTTTCTTGCAAACGTGTATATCAAGCATAGATTTATGTTCTCGTCGCGACTGCTGCAGTGGTCGCGAATGTTGTGCCGGAGTCGCACTGCTTGTACATCAATACAGTCTATCTATGCTGGAACGCAAACTGAATGATGTAGCTAACTGCATCGGGCGCTGATAGGAGGTATTCACTGGACGCCATATTTGAGGGCGATGTTTAGAGCGCATGCTCAGAACGAGCTCACATTAATAGTCTGCTAAGACCGGCAACCTTGATGGTGCTAAATGCACGCTCCAAAAGGACTGCGGAAGCTCGCCGTCAGCACGCGCTCAGCCGCAGCGCACACGAATATGGCCGCCAGTGAATGCTCCCTATTGGCTCTTCTCTCGGGTCACGTGACATGACGTTGAAATGTAGTTTTTTCCCTATGCAGTTCGAGCTATGCTCGTAAAATGATGCAGTTGGCGGTGACGTCAAAATGTCGTCACGATGCACTTTGACGATGCAGTTAACTGAGTGGTCGATGCGAAGCCGAAGATCAATCTGCATCGTAAAAAATGGCGACCCTAACATATGCGTCTCTACTGTTGGGTTCGCCAGCGGATCGAGTTTTTAGAGATCACCGGGATGCTTTCGAGACGAGCGATGTGAGGTTTGTGGGCGAATAACCGGCTGACCAAAGGGGTGACTCGCTGGCTGTGTGAACAGCTTCGCGGAAAGCTCCAGCGTTGTCTTGAAGGGCCCCGTTTTCTGACGGTCGAACAACAAGTCCTCGCAGCTCTACGCTTTTACGCCGCTGGCGGCTTCCAGGGAACCGTCGGGAGCGACGAAAACATTGGTGTTCTCCAGTACTCTGTGAGTCACGTACTTGGTGATGTCACCAACGCTATCATCGATTGCCTCGGATCGAAGTTGCTGTGTTTCCAACAAACTCAAGCACAGAAGGCGCTCACAAAAAGGAAGTTCTTAGAGCGCTGCAAGTTCAGCGGCGTTATCAATAAATATTCTAAATACTCTTACACGATTTAACACGATTGTGTTTTCATTTGAGTGCACCCTATATAAGCGATTTGGCTGAGCGAAAAGCCAAGCAAGCAACGGTAGCAGGCTTAAGTTGAGCTAGTTCGTTCATACTTCAGGTAGAGAGAGAGAGATATTTGCTTTATTTTAAAGCAACTACTTCAGGTCAGGCCAGCTGAACTAGGATAAATATACACATAAAGAAAAGACCATACACACCGTGGGACTAACAACTGACTTTCTTCTTCCCCCTCTTCTACGACGAACCCAACTTGAGGGAAATATTCTCTTTTCTTCTTTTTTGCTTCCTACTTCACCGCAAATTTAACCCCCGAAGGAACATTTCTTCTTTCTCGTGCAGCACGAGAGAAGTTGCACTAACGCAGTCAAACATAGTCAAAAAGTAAAATTTGTCGTTAGTTGTTTATACAGAAGGAGGTTAGTCTGCCTGAACATGGCAACATTGTTGCCCACTGTAGACAAGCAATTTAGCCAGTGCAGTACGACTGCTAGCCCGGGTTCTTTAACGTGCATCGCGCAGTACGCGACCGTACGCCTGTACGATGCTCATCCAGCAGATCGAAACGGGCAGGAGCGGGGATTGAAACCACGATCCCGGGGTTCTGCAGCGCGAGCTATAGCTCCACGTGCTCCGAGCTGGTGTGCGCTAGCCTACTCGGCGATTCTCCGAAATTCCCTGTAGGGAAAAAAAGAACGATGTAGTTTCAACTCAATCGCCACTGTTCGGCGACGTCACCGGACACGTCACGGTGCAGTTCTCTTCCGATATAGTTGGTTGGCGATGGAGATTAGGCTCCTCCCACCGGCGACGTCACGATGCAGTTTCTCCACCGCTTTTTCCAGCATAGACAGACAGACCACAGTCTGCATACAGCATCGAACACGATTCACCGCAAGACCCGTGCTTCAAATGGCGCATGGCAATGAGATCGAGGCTAAACTTGGCGCGCGCACATTCTAACCACGGATATTGCGATGGCTCGTGTTTGCTGACTGTCTTTTGTATAATGAATAAACAGTTTGACCCCGGCTTCAAGGGGTACGGAAACGAATTTTTTTGCATTTTCATTTCTTTGTTTAGATCTGGTTCATGTTGAGCCGGACGCCCAGACACACTAGCCTAGACTAGTGTTTCTGGGCTGCAGGCAGAGAAGTCAAGAACACTAATTTTTAAACGAATGAGCAGATTTCAAAAGCGCTTCTGGTAGCGGTCTGTGATGCTCCGCTGGGATGTCGTCATGTAATGAGTTCCTAAAGGGGTATTCACACGAGGGAGAAATCCCGGGGATTTCTCCCTCGTGTGAATACCCCTTAAGAAGCAGCGCCAGTTCGCGGCAGTATGGCTCTCTCGTGGAGTTACCTAGTCCTGAATGTGGCTTGACGGAGAACACTCAGAAGCTGAGAGCGCAGCCAAGGCTACAAGCACGAGCTAGCCCGTGCTCCTGGCTTTGAGACATGCATTTCTAGCGCGAGCGCTCGATCGTCCTGCAGGAAGACGCTTCAAAGCAGCGACCTCGAGCTCTCGTGGTTCTGGCATTGCTGTAGTCTCGGCGCCACCGTGCTTCTGCAACATGCATTCCCCACCTTCGAGATTGCCGTTCTTTGCAGATGTTCGGTAGATCTGAGGATGAGGGAACCTCTGCCAGGACAACCAAAAGCCATTTCTGGGTACTGACGGATATTTTTATTTACTGGTTCCCTCTAACCCCTACTTCTGCGGTGTGAAACTAAAGCCTGGTTCACAGACAGTGGCGTTTGACTGCGTTTGACTGCGTTGCGGCAGCGAGAAACCAGTACATCCCTGCTGCTTATATCCCGTGCCAAGATGATTCCTTGAATTGGATTCCACGCTTCATACAAAGCACAAATGTGCCTCTGACTCGCTTTCGGTTCTCGACGCAACGCAGTCAAACGCACTCAAACGCAAGTGTCTGAACCGGCCTTCACACGGTGAAATGAACGCTCGTGGCACATAAAATACCGGCATGGCCGCAAATGATGTTACGGGCAAGCTATGCAGAGGAAACAGGGAGTTCTGTCCTCGGATAGTACAACTTGGCGAGATTGTCACGCGTTGGCACCACCAAGCGGCAAGGCTCGAAACTAGAATACCCTTGACCGTGCAAGAACTATTGACGTCACGAGCGCGATACGCAATGCTCTTCTCGCTGGTCGACTTTGAAGCGAGAGATGGAGAGCCAACCTGTACTTCACACCCGTACCGCAGACACGCGCCGCTTTAGCACCGCTTCCTTGCTCGTCGCTCACCACCACGTTTGTTTTATTTTTTTCAGCTTTGGCTCAGGTACGGGAATGGCCAAAAATCAGGCTCCTCCAAAAGCTCGATCCGCCTCGAAGATCAGATATGTCACCGCGATGTCGAGCGGACATTAACAACCAGGGCCGGCTCTAAGGGTGTGCGACCTGTGCGGTCGCACAGGGCGCCATCAAAAGGGGGGCGCTGAGGGGCGTATAAAAAGGCGGGTTGGCCCCCCCCTCCCCCCCCTTCCCCTCCCGACCTCTCAATCCCAACCCACCACGGCCGGAGTTCGTCCAGGACGCTTGATGGTGTAGGCTCGGCCTTGTTGTGGATGAAGAAAGAATAAAACAATTAAAACAGGGACAACACAACCACATCTTTCATACATCTTGTTGGCAGAGCACACGTTTCCCCTTCGTGGGATTGACATGCCCCGGTGAAGTTTCAGCAAAATCTCACTCCATGAGCGTGGAGTGCGCACATTCGTTTTTATAGATGCGCGCGCCTTTTCCCGTTTCGTTCAAACGGCGCATTTGTGTCTCGAAACCTATTGTCGAAACAGTAGACTCGCCAAAAAGATGCACCGTGTGAATTCCAAATACACTTTAGGTCTACTTTTTGTAAAGGACGTCCCGGCCGTTGATATATGTGCAATTCGGGGCTCTGGATGTTTTGGTAGACCTCCGTGTCTGGGCACTAGCTGCGCTTGTGTCAGTGGAAAGACCCGCGGCGACGACCCACCGTGGACAAGACTCATTTTCGCCTATGGTTTGATAAACACAGGTCGGCACGTGCGGACAGTCAAACAAAGCACCAAGCGGAGCATCAGAGCAAAAGAACAAACTAAAAAAACTGAAATAAAACACCATCTCGGCGGCGCCCTATAACTACACTGTACTATCCACCACATCTGCAGGCCGTATCATCGTTCAGTCACTCCTAGTCCTAGTACACCTGGCCACCGGACGCGCGCAAAATAAAACCTTCAGCGAAGACCTTGGCACACGCGAATAGAGCTTATTTTATTAATAATAAATCTTTTTTCCGCTCTTTTCGGTACAGAAATTTACAGCGAAGGAAACATCCATATTTCATTATTTCCGACCTGTTTTAAGAACGGAAATCCGTTTTATGGCACGTGGCTTCGAATTCCCACCGGGCAATGAAGTTTGGTTTGGCAAGTGGCTCCATGTCATGAACAATTTCTGCCACTCTCAGAAGACCCGCGGTCGCGATCATTGGTCCCGATCTCTAGCTCGAATATCCGAGCGCTGTTCAGAACTGTGACGCAGGGCTCGTGTCCAATCGCTCGGTGACATGTTCTTCCTAAAGTGGCCCCTTTTGGCCACCAGCCGCGCTGACAAGCAGCCAACCGATGCACCTCCTGTCCACTGCACTGGGGCTATATGGTTGGGAGCAAAGAACTTAGTTTCATTCAGCTGTCGCCCAACCGGGAACTACGTTTCAAATGCACCATTCAACTGTCATTCTTCAGTCACGTGACGCATGTACTGATTCCTCGGGAAGGACTGCCGCTTGGTGCAACGACGAGTGCTGATTGGCCCAGCGCTAGAAACAGCGCACTTCCTGTCAAGTCTGTGGGCAATTGACACATCAGGCAATGAGCCCATGTTGTTTCCGTGGTCGTGATAGCGAACATCCGCTACGAACTGACCAGAGAGTACATAAAGCAAAGGTTTCGAGCTTATTACCATCTCTGGTGGTATCGTCATACCAGCGTCAGTCAGACGTACCGAGATATATTCTCTTTGCCCGTAAACAATCCGGTCAGAGTGAACGAGTTTGAAGATTACAAATTTCTTGAGTGGCAGCTTTTTTCCAGTGGACATCGACGACCACCATGTCTCAGCAAGCCGAATCCCACGAGAGCACCATTCATCAAATTACTCTAGATGGACTAGACCTTCTGCAGAAGACCCTCCAGAAGCCTTCGAGTGAGGAACAGCAATTCCTTGACCTGGGCTGTGGCATAGGTGATGTCACGCGTGAAGCGCTTCTTCCACGCTGTCTTCCCGTCGGCAAAATCGTTGCCGCGGACGTCTCCAAGGACAAGATTGAGACCGCCAAGAAGGACTTCGCCCATCCCAAGATTTGCTACGACGTTCTCGATGCTCTAGCGGATGACGTATCCGCCTTTGTGAAGAAGTACGGTCAATTTGATCGAGTCTACGCCATCTTCCTTTTCAACTGGGTGAAGGACCAAGAGAGAGGATTCAAAAACGTGTTCAAATTGTTGAAGCCCGGTGGCGAATGTCTATTCATGTTCTATGCTTCCAGTTTCCACCTTCAGTTTCGTAAGAAGTTGGCCAGGACGGAACGTTGGAAAAAATATGCGGCGGTAAGTTTTATTGGTCAGTTAAACAAAAGCGCGAAAGTGGCTGGTACGAATAATATAAAAATTAACTCGTTAAAAGCCTAAAAGTGACAGCCAACGTTACTAAAACACTCAGTTGGGAAACTCGCCGTCGAAACCTGGGCCGCTGGCGTCTACCGAGACCGATCTAAATGCGACAACAGCGCCACTCTTTTTCGTTTGTCTGTACTATGGTCACCTCGAGCTTTTTGAAAGCCTGTTTTTGCGTAAAGACAAACGGAAAAGACTCTTTTTGTATGAAATTTATTGGAGTTTAGTACCAGATGATGGGCGCGTGATGTTTTTATCATCTTTAGTTCGCAAGGTTTTGCGGAACAATTAGTATTGTTTTCATACAACCATGCCTCAGCGGGCCTTTCAGGTAGCCCGTCCCGCCCTAGGTGCATTTTAACTTCAGTAGTTGACCGCGGCGCGTCTGCCGGGGAGGCGGGGGTGGCACCCCTGTAACCTAGGGTGCCTCCGCTGTAATCTAGGGTGCCTTCATGTGCGGTTTCCTTAGGGTGGAGACATCTCGCCATTTTGTCCCACACATTTATTTTTCTTTTTTGTTCAAAAGCGCGTGAAAGAGCGTGTCCCTGCACGCGTTTGTGGCGCTGACCGTGCTATGGCGACATTTTGTTTTCATCAATTTCTTTGTATTTTACCCGTGAGCGCGTGCTGTCGGCATCGGGTACTACAAAGGGTGGCATCACCCTTAACAGAAGGACATTGAGGCACCCTACTGTAACCTCTACCGCTGTACCTGTTCTTAAAGCCAAAATACAAGTCACGTGCAGCTCTTCGAGTGGCCGCTGCGGGAGAAATGGTGGCGTTGTGTTCGTCATTAGCTCGGTGCTCGGAGATAGATTGGGGCCACTTTTTCAAAGCTGTCTCTATGGGAGTTTCCCAACTGAGTGTTTTAGTAACGTTGGTGACAGCCATCGTTCCATGTTGGCGAAGAGACATATTTTTTTTTTTTAATTTCTCAACAAAATTGTTTTTGGTATGGGGTAATACAATCGTTACAAATATACATTGTCTTCATGTATTACAGAAAAAAGGTAATTCGTATTCTAACCAATCAAAGATATGACAGCCACACGGGATCCCTCTGAAAAATTAGGTATTGTCCGAATCACAAATAGTTATGAGTATAAACTTGTCCTTGCATACCAAACCGCATTAAACAACCCAGATAACTCTCTCCTTTCTCTTTCCGCTTTGCGGTCAAAGACTACTTCATATGCCATCCGCCATGCCGGTGCCTGGACTTCACCCGCGCTCCAGGACAAATTATGGGAACCAGACTCTTAAATTCCATCTTTCCAAAGTATTAAATAGTACAGTATCAATGGATTTCAATCTTGAGAATGTGTCTAATAAATTCATACGTTCTCTTTTTGTCTGCCCGAGGTAAATTTTAATAGCTTAATTATGTGCGGGAAATATTGTTCTTTTATTGCTGTTGTTTTTTATATTGCTATATATAAGTTCCCATTGCTTTTTTCCCTTCCTTCCTCTCCTCTTGTGTGAAAAGAAATCAATAAACTTGATTTTTAATTTGAAACACGAGCTGCCACACGTCTGCACCTTAGAAGAAAACTAACGAAGACCCTCTTGCAAACTGATATTCAGGGTATACAATTTCATACCACAGCGTCCATTGGTTACGTTTGGTTGCATTAGCTGCAATAAAAGTATATAATTTTTACGTATGCCCAAAGTATAGAACACGTTTCAAGACGAATTAATTAAACTCTAATATTTTCTTCATGCTTTATTTGCAGATTTGTGAAAATACCACCCCTGACACCGTAGACCTGGTTGGAAACGAATCTCGTATTTCCTACATTGAACGACTCTTGAAAGGCACCAATTTGATCCCGACCTTTTGTGATGTCATAACGGAAATATCAACGCGTTATGGCACTAAAGAGGACGTTACACGTAAGCGCATTTTTTTGCGTTCACCTCAAAACAGGAGGAATTTTTTCAAAGCGTTGACGTGACACCATTAGCTTGGCCACCACGTAAAAACTAGGTGGGCAACGTACGGCGTAGGAAACCTTTGAGCGAACCACCCCTCGATATAACGCGCTGCCGGAAAAAGATAGAAACAAAATTGAGACACAAATCAATTAATCTCCTACACTCAGTGACAATATTCAGAGGCAATGCTTCTCAAGCTGTACGAGTGAACGCTTTACTTGTTCCGAACTGCAACGGAAAGGGTCTCCCGACTACAGAAAATGAGGAGGCAGAATGTTCCAATCTCTAACTGCATGAAGTTCCAGCCACACTGCTCATACATTCTACAAAAGACGCGGAGTTTCTCCGCAGATATGGTGACAAAATTATGTGCAGACACACCTGCATGTGTGCTTTATTGATACACATGTTTCGCACGTGTCTGTGGACAAGTTTTCCTGTGATCAATGTGAGAGGACATGTCATACAAGGAAGAACCATTTCTCAGACAGTGCATGGAGACTGTCCTTTGAATGATGTAGTAGCTCAGTGATCGGAAGTTAAGCTTTTACTGAAATAAGCGCCAATCTTGTTTCGACCCTGAACTGTCCAAATACGTGTCTAAAATGTTATTTTTTGTGTGTGTGTGGGTATCCTATTTTCAGGAGAACTGATGGAGATCAACCCGCTCACAGCCAAAATAAGCAAGGAAGAAATGCCGTTTCTTCGAGAGGAGGTGATGAAGGAAGCGGACAGACTGTGGGCCGAAAAAGAAGCCGGTGGATCTCCACTTGACTACCCTGTGTACATTGTTCGCGCGTCCAAGATTATTTGATGAGATGAACTATAAGATATGACCGACAGCTGGATGCTGCGAGAACCTCTTTTTAAGCTTGGATGAAGCAGAGAACTAACGAATGGTTGTACGCTTTTCTCGAAGATTTGATAGCAAGCCGGCTGAGTCGACATAATCGCCATCTCGCTAAGTCACGTTGGTTTTTCGCTTTTCTTTGAGGTGGCGGTAAACAATTAAGACAAAAACGAATTTTCAAATAAATGTCTTTGGTTTTTAGCAATGATCCCAGTCTCCTGCCCAATTCCTCCCCGTTCTTTCAGAACACCTTTGAAACATACATGTAGTACTGCAGAATCTGGGAACGAATATTCTCGGAGCCTGCTACGCGAGACCTTTAGCTCCGCGCCCAGCTGAGCCGCGAAGAATTAAGAAGTCATCGTGCCTGACAGGCCATAGGGCGTGGCGAGATTCGAGGATCTCATTACCTTGCCGCAGCCAATGAGACTGCTGCGTTAGCTGATAAGAACGCCAGTGAACCAATCACGAAACAAGAGGCGTGAACATAACAGGCCACGCACTGCGTTTTTTACGTCGTCACTGACCACAGTGACCACACTGTTAGAAAAACTCCTGTCAAAATATGGGACACATACATGCTAACCTTGTTGCCACAACATGTACTGTATTACAGGACTACAGAACATGTTCCATACTTCTTTAGTACGGGACATGTTGCTGTATGGGCAGCCACAACAAGTTCCATACACCATCATCACGGAACAAGTACTGTATGCTACAGGAAATGTACCATCGTGGCACACAGCAGCACATGTTCTGTTGCAAGCCATGCCAGAACATGTACCATTTTTACGAAGTACATTACATGTTCCAATGCGTCCAAAACGACACAGGTTACATTTATTGTACGTACGGAGAAAGTTCAGTCTTGTTTGTGATGGTACTCGCCCCATTTTATGTTACTGCCGCTATTCATGAGTACATCAGGGCTTTGTATGTCACATGCCAAGCTCCTCCTTGAAAAAGTTGATATGCGACATGCAAAACAGGGATGTCCTGGCAGTTTGCAGGCGCAACTTGATGCACGTCTTTGCAACATAAAATTACCTGCAATGCGCAAATGTTCCCCAAACTTGTATGGATGGAAAATTTGAACTGTCGTATCTAATGCGAGCACTATCCTGAAAACAGAACAATGAATCTGTGACATATATACTCGATAGAACAGCCAGGAATGCCATGAGAAAGTGTTCACATGCTACGTCAAGTTTAGAGAGCATTGTACATGTAGTGACGGGGATAAAGGCAGATAAACATTTGTAAAAAAATCGTTATCAAACTAAGTTCACGCTTGGTCCTTTTGGTTCCAACCCATAGCAACGGACCCATTGCAAAGAAGACTGAACAGTTTGCTGCTTCAAAAATATTTACATTTATTTTTCTTTTAAATGTCTAGAGCAGATACACAATAAAAAAAACACAGTTCATGCCGCAAATATTTTGGGGGGCAGCTCAGCCATAAAAAAAAATATCAAAGTGAGCAGTCTCCTAAAAAAATCTGACCAAAAATTATGCTGACATGCTACATCTCGAAAAGAACCATCTTGGCCTATACAACAAATTGTAATATTAACAATAGAAAAGAAAGATTAATCTAAACAAGCACCGAAGTTTCTTTCCACTTCTTTTGGAACTTCGAGAACTCTTGGAGGGCTCTTTGCGCCTTCAGATGCACCAGAGCAACTTTTCTTGACGACTGCCGGGACCCCTCCTGCGGGTTCATTGCCACAAGTCGCCTGAAAAAGAAAGATAACATAAATAATGGGTGAGATTTCTTGGATGTATAACAGAAGCTAAGGAGTTCCTGGCTCGTTCTTTAACTTCTCTATCGGTTAGTAATCCAATCTGGACAAATTCTAAACCTCGTCTATAGTATACTTTCAAGCCGAGACACGCCCTTAATTTGGACAGTCCGTGCACACACCATGAGCCTCCAAGTCTGATCCTTGCATCAAGACGAATTTTGATTGTACACAAAAAAAAAAAAAAAAAAAAAAAAAACGATTCAGCTTACTGGCATCAGTTCTCAGTAATAACTGGACACATTTCGGATCTTGTGTCAGCACACAACGCTAAAACATTCTACAACCCGAGACGGAGGCTACAAAGAAGGACGAACACATCCGTCTCAATTGAAACGTGTGTCTTCGAAGCCTCCATCTCGGTTTGTAGAATGTCATATTAACCAGCTCGCCTGTCTAGTAAAGTTGTACCCAACGATACTTCGGTTAAAAAAAGGAATTCACACTACCAGTAAATGCAATATTACAAAAAAACTTGCCTGAAGTGCTTAAGCAGAATATTCTGGTTATTATTAAAGGGTGGTTATCATTTGAGCCCGTTCTCGTTTCGCCCTTCTCGCTTGGCCCTTCTCAAAACAACCATTCTCAAAAAGATCTTTTCTCTTGGACCTGGCACATTTGGTCCTTTCCCGTTTCGTCCTTCGCATTTCAACCCTCCTCATTTGAGTCCGTTCTCGTTTCGCCCTTTTCACCTGGCCCTTTTCAAAACAGCCATTCTCAAGAATATCTCGCTTTGACCCGTCGCACTTGACTCGTTCTATAAGAAAATCGTTTTTTTGGGGGGGTTATATTAATAAGTACATTGATATATTTTGTGCGTGCGTGTGTGTGTGTGCCACGCTACAGGCATACTCTCTCTGCCAAGGATTTTAGCAGTGCGTCGAGATCGTCGTGAAAAGCTACTAGCTGACAATAAAACAGACCAAGTATTTATCGCAGCCAGATCATATTCCGAAATGTCATGTTTTTTGGGGTCTCTCGACCTGGGACAATGCCACCACTTCTATATTGCAGTGTTTCTCAAATGGGGGTCGCGAAGGCATCTTAGGGGTCCGCGAAGCCATGTCTTATCAGTCAAGCACGACAATATTAGTTGTCTTTCTTCACGTCGTTAAGAAACGTTCCAATTTTTGGGTGAGTACTCTCGTGCGTGTGTCAATGAGATAAGTCTACTTCACACTAGCAATTAGTTATATCCATTTATTAAATCATTATCATGATAGCCTATACCTTTCTATTCCCCTCACCCCGAGCGGGTTCCTCCATCATCTCCGCCTTTCTACAAGGGGTCCGCGAAACATCAATGGTTGAGAACCACTGCTAATATGTATGCTATTTCTGTTCAAAGTTTCCAAATTAAATGTTCATCGCTTCTTTTTTTTTTTTCGTTTGCTTAGAGGAAGGGAAGGACGCGTCATTGTACGATTCTCAGTGCGCACCTCTACACATAACATATACCTAATGGTATGTTGGGGGCCCAAGCAAGGTAAGGCTCATCAAAAAAGCCGCGAAGGCATAACAACGTTAGAAGCATGCCGAAGTAATGCCATTCGGTCGTAGGGCGAACGGGCAAAATGAGAATGGGCCCAGTTCGAAAAACACGATTCGGATCTTATGAGAAGGTTCAAACGAGAAGGACCAAATGAGAATAGGACGAAATGTGCAAGGTTCAAATGCGAATGGGACGTTTTGAGATACACCCATTATTAGAATGCTGAACATTCACGTCTTTTGGTTCATATTACTTATTCTAACTGATAAGCATAGCCCGGTCACAGGTATATTCGTGCGCCCCTGCAGAACAAGGGCTCATGTATTTGAAGCCGATCGATACTAAGGCGGATTAAAATATAAGTTGCATGCTCCGTAGGATGCACAAGTTCTAGTATTGGTTCTATATGACAATGTATCTGAATACCAGATTCATACTGATTCTTTCATCATATTGCAACATAATAATATGACTTACAGAGAAACGGTCCTCCCAAGCAGGTCACGCAGTTACTGCAGCACATCCAATTAATGTGAGCAACGAATATTTTCAAGCGAATTGTGAATAAGGGTGTCTAGAAAGCAGCACGTTAACATCAGGCCTTTGCCTTTCTTAGTTCGAAGTTTCAACAAAAACATGGTACAACATGTTCCAGGTTGCTGTTGAACGTGCCAAACAAACACAAATGCTAACGCTAATATGCTGCTCTACAGAACATATTTCTTTCCGAATTGCTGCCGAAAGTTAGACACTTTGTTTAATGTAATTGACAATGCCTCAGCAAAAGTGTGACCAAGCTGAATGAAACCCTTAATATCTACATGGGAATACTGCAATACGTTTGAGGAATCATTATGCTTCTGCTACACCGAGCGTTTTTTTTTTTTTTTCTTAGTTTTGTTTTAAAAAAAAAAACCATGAAAGCTACACTTATCCAATTTGTGCGAGTGAGTTATACGCCCAGGGGGGATTTGGGGGTGGTTAATCTTCGCGATAAGTCGGCTAATTAATTAAAATTCGTTAATTAACTTTTTAATTACTGAAAATAGTCATATGGTTCCAATTAGAAATTTGCTGAGCGTCGTCCAAAACCTCTAAATCAGTAATTTTAGAAAAACTTTGAGCGCGTGAAAAGAGCAACAGTGCGCTGAAGTTACTACTCGTGGAGCAGGTACAAGGCTGGGACTAAATAAGGGACAGAAAAATCGCACAGGCGCCTTACCGCGACAGCTAGCTTTGTATGTGCTCCACGAGTTGTAACTTAAATGCACTACTACGCTTCTCACGCGCTGAAAGTCTTTCTAAAAATGACTGATTTAGTGGTTTTTGATATCGCTCAGCAAGTTTCTAATTGGAGCCATATGTCTATTTTCACTAACTAAAAAGTTATTTAACAAATTTTAATTAATTAGCCGACTAATCGCAAAGATTAGCCACCCACATAATGTCCCCATTGGCGTATAACTCACTCGCAGAAACCGAATAAGTGTAGCTTTCATGGCTTTCTTTAAACAAATCTGGAAGAATAAGAAAAAAACGCCCTGTGTATGTACAGCACTCACCAAAGGAACACGCTACTGTATTACCTCTGGAGATTACATCAATCCATGACGTAGCGCACAAAATTGTTGCATTAAGCAACATGTTATAGTCGTCGTTCGGCCACCGACAAGTTAGCACTTTTATGAGGTAATGAACAGTTGGTGTGTTCCTATAAGTTTCGGAAACATTGCACATTGCCAAATGAAAACAGAATTTGAACTTTTTTGACTTGTCCCATATTATATAATGTAAACGAAATATGTTTCGAGGGCTCAATATTTCCCGATTGAGGTCAAAGTTGAAGTTTTGGAATAATTTGCGGGTTCTAATTTTCACAATGCGGTGGGATCTCAATATAGTTTCCAATGT